AACAATTATGTATTATCTCACTAATTTAAGAATATCTTTTATCAAGAATCTTATAAATCCCTATCTCTCCCTCTACATTTCTTAGAGTGACACGAGTCCCATTATTTGAAATAGGGAACTTACCTTTTTGCCAATGGTGATCACTGCATTTTATAATAGAAGTTGGCGTGAGCTCCTATAACACCCTATGAAGCAAATGGACATACCTCTAAATTAGAAACAGGGGAGCAACCCTGTCCAATATAGGGTTGCATGCCTCTATCACAGGTAGGTGACTACAAATAAAATGTAAATAATCTACCTTATATGTTTACAGCATGAGAAAATGGAGATTCCAAAGATGCCCCTTTCATCTTGAGACTCCCTACAACATACAATACCCATCATATGTAAGAGATGTTTAGTCTCTTAGAAATGTGTTTTCATACCTCCGTAAATATCAGGTGGTTGCAATCACCCATCTACCAGCTGACTTTTAGGGCCATAAAAATGACTTTAGAACCCCAATCTAAGCACAACGTTTATATAGTCCTCTAGTTGGGTTGCAGGGGAGACACAATTAGCTTTAAGAATTTTTTTATTTTAAGATAGAGATAGATATCTCTATTTAATAAATTATATTTAGATTGTATAACGTCAAACGGCAATATTTTCCCCTCTATCGTAATTATCGGCTAAGGTATTAATATTTCAGAATTTTAAGGGGTGTAGCCTGAGTGAGATAGTCTTTAATTCCTAATGTTGCTCTGACCTTTGCTCTGGCCTTAACTGCGTCTTTAAGCAATGGATTTTCTAGATTTAAATGTTTAATCATAGTCGACTTAATCCAAAAAAGATATATTGGATTTGAGATTCCAATCTGAGAACTTTCACAATGGAACCAACCTGCTTTCTATTTTTCCCCACGCCCCAGGCCTTCACATATGTGAACATGGTTACATCATGTAATAGTTTTAAATCGGGAAAGCCCAATCCCACTTGGGTACTATCACTTTTAATTAAGTTTTGCACAATTTTGGGTTTCTTGCTGCCCCAAATAAAAGAAAAGGAATAATTTATTAACTTTTTCGAGGATGGACCCTGGAACCCAAGTAGGAATCATTCTGAACAGATATAGTATCTTAGGGACCAAATAAGCTTTAACCAGAAATTATCTTCCCATCCACGAGACCTCTACTCCCTTCAATTTAATCATTTGCTGATTAAGGTGTTGGAATAAAAACTCATAATTTTCTGGAATAACTCGTACTAAGTCTAGCATTTACTTAATGCCAAGGCAGTCTAACCAATCTTTGCTCCAAATAAATTGGAATTTACATTGTAAGGATTGTTTTTGAGATGATGTTAAATGTCTGCTCACAATTTGGGTCTTATATAGATTCAACTTATAATTCGAGTAATGTGCAAATTCCTTAATAACTGAAACTACTGCCGTAATAGAAATCTCGGGAGTGGTCGCTGTGAGTAGAATGTTGTCTACTTTAAACTTATGCTTATTTACTTTGATGCCCTTTATCTCCTCTGTTGGGTTTATCATCGATGCTAATGGTTCAATAGATAAAGCATATAGCAGGGGAGATAAAGGGCAGCCCTGTCATGTACCATTTTGGATACTGAAAAAAGGATGAACTTAAAATTGGACCTGTTTCTTTGGTGCTCAGGTTACTGTAAAGTGTCATAGAGCTCTTCTTAAATAAACCATTGATCCCAAAAGTATCTAATGTCTCAAATAAAAAGGCCCAACTAACCCTTTCAAAAGCCTTCTCAGCATCAAGTGCATGGGCTTTTATTGGATCTCTGAAATCAGATCTATTAATTTCCAGGTATTATCCTCCCCAGATCTGCCTGGAAAAAACCCAGCCTGGTCGGGGTGTACTAATTCTGACATTACTGTTTTAAGTCTGCCAAAAGTTTCGAAAATAATTTCACATCTATATTTATTAGTGAAATGGCCCTGTAGTTTATGATTTAGCGAGGATCTTTCCCCACTTTTGGAATTGGCAAATAAAAGCTTGGAGTATCTCTTGAGGTATGTCCCCCTTTTCCCCCAAATAATTAAACATTCTGATTAGCTGCAGGGAAATCACTGTGCCCCCTATCTTATAGAACAGTGCTGTAAATCCATCGGGACCCAACAATTTCCCTGCTTTCAATCCCAGTATTACTTTTTTTCAACTCTCCTATAGTAAAGGATTTGTTTAACATCTCTTGTTTCTCGTCTGAGATTCTTGGCAAGTTTAACCTCTGTAAGAAATTTTTCAGTGATGTTTTGGGTATTTCTTTACTGTTTATATTATAAAGGAATCTATAAAAATTCCTTAATTTTTGTGAAGGGTCCAATAAGATTTTATTGTTGACTACTAGTCTTTGAATCCTAGATCTTTCTAGTTTCTGTTTTAATTTGATAATAATTTTTATTTGCTCTGTTGTTACTGTACTACCATTTCTGGAATTAAAAATAGCCTTCTCTAATATATCGTCCAGTCTGGTTTTTATTTCTTTTTGGACTTTGTTTATTTGTTTCACTGAAGTCTTATTAGGTTGACTTAGATTGATTTAATTTGTCTTTCTAAATTAGCTAAATTTATATATAAATCACATCATTTTTAATTAAATATCCCTTTATAGTATATTTCAGGGCGTTCCATAGAGTTGGGTCCCTATTATCGTTATAACTTAGAAATTGTTGGATTTCATCTACTAATTTTTGCTTAGCTTCTGCGGAACAAAAATTTTTAATAATTGATTTTTCACTCCTCTCTACCACTGAATTGTTGTTCTTCAGTTCACAGCAGACCGGAGCATGATCAGACCAGCTTATAATACCAATAGAAGAGAAAGTACAAAATTTCAGAAAGTCAAACTGTATAAAAAAAAAATCTATCCTTGAATACGATAGATGTCTACTGGATAAAAAAGTGTAATCTCTCTGCAGGGATGCTGTATTCTCCACAAATCATAGAGGTTATACTCTTTAGTTTTATTATCTATCTTAGCAAACAAGAAAACATTGGAAACTTGCGCAACATGGAACTGAATGGAGGTTCAGGGATGACGGCAGAACGCTGGAAGAAAATACAGAGCTTATTCTGATTAATTTCTAAGTGTGGGGGTGGCACTCTGATAATTATAAGCACTGCATATGTACTTATATTTGTTTGTATTTTATTTTCACTTAAGGACATCAGCATTGATAAAGGGCTAGTGCCCGAAACGATTGTACTTTGTCCTTCTAATTAAAGGTGGTAGAACCAGGGGGTGCACTTAAAAATCAAGTTGCGCAAGTTTCCAATTTTTTCCTGTTTGCTATTGCACACTGGTGGAACTACAGTGTGGAAACATTGCAGCACTGTGGAAAGTCTTTTTGTAGTTTGAATTGAAATCAGTACAGGCAGGTATTTTGTCTCTACCTCATTTTGTATATATTATCTATCTTATTCCCTTTCATTAGTTTAATATCCAGATTGGCGTCCACGGTGCAATTCATGTCACCCCCAATTATTAAGATTCCTTTGGAGAATCTATCCACTTTTTCCTTTAAGGAATTCAGAAATGTTATGGGGTAATCATTGGGAGCGCAACAATTTACAAGAGTATACAATTTTTCATTTACTTTACAAACCAGTATTATGTATCTCCAATTACTGTCTGCCTCCAATATTATAATGGCTACTGCTTTTTCCTTAAAGCAGCTTCATAAACTATTGGGCATTTTGTATACCTCCAAAGAGAAGAGCCTTGACAATCCCAGTGCGCCATTTGTGCAAAGCAGATATTTATCCCTTCTTTAAACAGTAAATCATAGAGATAGGCTCTTTTCTCGGGAGAATGTAGTCCCTTGGTGTTGATTGATACTATTTTAAACTTCATTGAGTACAATACCTATCCCCAAAGTTCCCAACTTTAATAACATTAAATGTTATTCTTGTTGGGTAGAGCCATCTGTACACAATCTTTTTGTTTTTCAAACATTGGGTAATTTCACTAAATATTTTCGTGTTTAGCCTCGTTGCTAACGAAAGGTCTGTGAAGAAAGTGATGTTTCTGTATATTCCTGGAGAGGGTGTTTTCTTGAATTCTTTTGAGAACATATCTTATAGGTATGAATTGTTGAAACAGATAATTGTATCTTGTGGTTTATCTGCAAATGCCGATGATTTTGGTTTAGGGAGTCTGTGGAGTCTTTCAAATGGTAATTTCTTATTTTCTCTTCTTCTATGACAGTGGAGACTAATTTTTTGCAGTACTCGTCAAGCTGATAATTTTTTTTTTTTGCTGTGCAGATGATTACAATATACCAACGGTCGCCACAACAGCGTATTTCAAGAGTCATAACAGTTTAGCAGTGGCATGTGAGTTTGCACAATTTTGTTTTTTTTTAAGCATGCTTGACTACACAGATTGGTGAAGTAAGATTAACTAGAGTACCATGATTTACGTTTAGTTTACGATTCTGATGTTGCTACACTATTGTGTACAAAGTGTATAAGCACGGTTAGCAGTATAGCGGTAGCTAGTTGAAATAATACATGTAAAAGTTAAACTATGTGTACCATGAACACTAAATTGGTGCTTAATAATCCAAGATAGATAAACATGGGAGATGGACTGAGAGGACCCACATGGAGACTATGTTAGGGACCTCGGGTGTCATGTTGTTTTGCGTCAATGCAGGAATGTATCGTTGGGTACAGGAGCGGGGCAGCTGGGGCAGACAGTATTCATCCTGACCTAATCTGTTATAAAGCACCATGCATGTAAGGTAGGGACATATAGGGTCAGGTTGATTAGGCTAGTGGGGGTTAATTGCATCTTAGGCCTGTGCTGGTTAAGCCGGCCTGTGGTGCTTTCTATTGGCATGTATCTGGGACACTAGAAGGATCCTAGTAAGCCACCCTTGTCATGTAAGGGAAATTTCCCCAAATCATTTCTTATTAAGGCAGTGCTAAACAAAAGAACATAAGAACATAAACTAAAACATTTCTATCCCCACGGCTTGCAGTGTCCGCCGGCATTTTGATTTTCCACCAAAGCCAGCCCTGGGGAATTCTTCGGTTCTTCGCTGAGCTCAGCCGATGCCCTTTTGGGGGGTAACATAGTCCCGTGAGAGTTCTAGAAGGGTGCCCAGCGGTGTGTCTGAGTGGGGGATTGCATCTGAGCAAAGTAGGTGGGTGAGGCTCGGAGGGTGCCGACCGGATCCCCGCCACCTTACCGGGTTCCATCTCTGATCTGGGGGTTGGTATTGTAGGGTCACCCCTGCTGGCTGTGGTCGTGGGCTGGGAGTTGCAAGGTGTTTTTGTTGGCAGAGCACTGTCATCGGCGAGGTCCTTCTCATGGGTTTGCGGGCCCGCTTGGGGCCTCTTCTCTTTTAGTGTCATTTTCAGGTTCTGCTTGCAGGAGTGACTGTGTGTCTGCCATGGGAGCATGTCGGCAGCGCTTTGGGTGAGAGTTTAGCTTGTTTGTATGCCGCATTTTGCTGCTCTCTATCTGCTATCGTCTTCCAGAATTTGTTGAAAATGTCATCCACCTTGGCCATGTCAGTTTGGCAGTTCTATGCGGCAAGCACCCGTGGCAGCGACCCTTTTGCAAGGCCACGTTTCACCTCGCTGCTCTCCTGGGTCCCTCTGTGGGGTCTCTGCAGGTGTGCTTAGTTTCCGGGATATCCCTCACTGGCGGGGGGGGAGAGAGGAAAGGCTCTTGGTTGGTCCTCCGCAGCGTTGGAGTCTGCTTACCGGTTGCTCCAGGCTGGGTGATTGGCTGCCTCACCTGTGCCCTCGTTTCCACTTAGGTCGCAAACAGGCTGGTTGTTGCTGCAGTAGACTCCGGTGATGCAGCTCACGTTCCCTGAGGCTCAGCGTTTCGTGCGTAGGTTCGTTGCGATCTCCCTTGCATCCCCTACGTGGGTGATGCAATTTTGGGGGATTTTGTTGCTTCAGAGCCAGTTTAATTTCGCTTAGATTAGGTATTTGGATGGGAACTCATTCTTCATACGTCTTATCAGCTACATAGCCAGGATCTGCCCCCCAAGCTGATAATTTTTTATATCTTTTGTGATTCTTCCTTATTCTCACATTTCTTCTTCTAGACCGATCTTTTCGGATTCGGTTTTAGACAATATTTCTTTTATGTTTTGAGTTTCATTCTGGAGTTCCTCACATTTCTTTCTTAATAGTTTGCTTTCTTCTGTCTGTATGGGAAGAGTTTGCGCATTCTGAGTAATCTGTTGCTTTAAATCAGTTGAGTTTAATTTCAAATCAACTTTGATTTTCTCCAACAGATCATCTAATTGTGTGACTTGTGTGAACATCAGTTGATTCACCAGGCCAAGTGTTTCATTAGCAGTTTCACTGCCCTCCTCAAGGTTTTTCCTGTGGTATTATTGGACCTTGTATTGTACCTTGACATGATTTTCTTCCCGTGTCACTTGATTTTGGGGAGTAGAATCCACTAATAGGTTTTGATTGTTGTAATTTTTCTATATCTTTTTTTGGGAGTGATAATGCCTTTCAATGTGGAATCCCTTCCCCTGTGTTTGCACAATTTTATATTGCTTATTTTTTATTTTTTAGAAGAGTAGTAAGGGGAGAGAAACAGAAAAAAATAAAATAAATAAAACACAACCAGAAATTAAAACTCTTCTTCATTTTCTGCACATGTGAAAATGCCTAGCTACAAAAGGGTTAATAATTGTATTTGGAGCTTTACATAACATCTGATGCACTAATGTACCAAACATACATGTTTAGTGTTTATCCAACCAATTATTTTTACCTGTTTATTTCTTTGCATTGACACAAAAACAAAACATAATTTATGTTTTTATTTAAGATATAATTTCATATTTCCTTTAAATTGTGTTTATATTTCAAGAGATCTTGTAGTTTTGCAAGATATCTGTATCTAAATTTATAGATGGTCAGGAAGGAGACAATATAATGTAGAAATAGCAAAATTGGCAATTTGACAATACATTACAGTACATCAAATGGAAAATGATTAGTAATGGTTCAATTCAAGTAAAGTACTGCATGGCTCTTACAAGAATCCTAACTAATTTTAAAATAGTCAGTCTTTTTAACACATTTATTACAATTAGTAAATTATATATTACATTATTCTGTCCATCAAATGTAATCATCTCCAACAGTGTATTTCATTGATGAACAATTACATATATATATATATATATATATATATATATATATATATAAACTTTTTTTTGTTTTTGTTTTTTTACCAGAGTATCTTTTAAAAATATATATGATAAAGGTCTACTTAATATTACAAAGACGTGATACTTGCAATGCAATTCTAAGGTCCTCAAATACTATGCTTGGCAGTATAGATAACTCTAAAAGAAAAAAGTTTTTCACGTGGTCCAAAACTCATCAAAGGGCATTTCATTTCAGACACATTTTTTGACTGTTCCTTTTTTCCCCACTATTGGTCACTTTTTACTTGATTTATGAATGAAAAACAATTTTCATTGTCTATCATCAATATTTTTTTTCCTATCAATTGTCTGTTTTTGTGCTCCAAGGATGAAGCTGAGAATAATGATTTAAACAAAAATCTTCGTCCATTGTCTATTTCCTATCTTTCATGATACATCCTTATTGCTTTTTGGAGTTATGGAATTCAGAAAACCCACTGATCACCCACAATGGTGACAAAACATAATTTGTTTGAAACCAAATGCGCAAACCGAGTGAACACAGCTCTGATATCCACCATTTAAATCGTAAGTATTAGCAACCCTCCTTCATCCACGAACTCAAAGCAATAGTATTATTCCCTCTATAAGCCCACGTATGACAATGTAACCTGGTCTTCTGGGCAATATTACTACATGCATCTATCCACTGAAGTAATGCAAAGCAGTAAATGCACCTCATGTAAATATTGTACCCTATTACACAACATTTATAAGTACCTGTATCCTCTACAACAGGAGTTTGAATTATAGTAGGCCTGTGGCGTACATTTGCCTTTAAATTGACACCAATATAGGCAGGTAGACATCAGAACCCACTACAGAAATAGGTCAAACCACAGTCCTTGTACTGACATCAATACATGTCCCCAGGATCTATCCCCATAATTTAGAATTATTTTGTGACAGTAATTCATAATCCACCGTGACTTTAGGACATGGTAAAAAATAGACATACCACCATGAGACACACTGGCAGACTATAATTGCTTCGTTGAAAGGGACACGCTAAGAACCAAGACTTGTGTTTGATTGAGTTGAATACCCAGGATTTGTCTTGTAATCACGGTACCTCAACACAAATTTTTAACAATACATCCAAAAGTTATATGAGAGACCCTGTCTCACATATATGCTGCTCCAAGGAGGATCTACTACTGACTCTGGCAATTGAAGTTTGTGCACTGCTGAGGGATGGGCGGTTAATCCAGTGAAAGGCTTGAAACTAGTGGCTTATTATAAAGTGCTTTCTACATTGTCATTTTTACTTCTTTAGTTTTAGTTTGTCCATATCTTATACATAATACAGATTAAGGAACAGCACACACATAAAAATTCTTTCAAAATTCTATAGGGCTACTTAAAATCCCCTATCTCAGCAAACAAATATGGGTATTCCATTCCACCATATGGCCATATTGTGTTAAACCCACCACCACTTCACAGTACAAGAAATATTGGTGGGTCCTACACTAATTCCAACATGGGAGGCAAATCAAATAGTGCTAGTGCTAAATAAGATGAAGTGTATTTAAATAATCTTGTAAGAGCATTGTGAATATATATAATGCAAAATTAGTGTGATAAATGCAATTAAAAAAACTGCAGTGTCAAAATTAAACAATTTAAGTGGTAGTGCTTTGATATACATAAGTAGGAGGAAAAATACAACGTAAACCTGGGGAGTGCACATCCAGTATATCCTAGTGCACCTACAGGATACTTGTATAGAAGTCAGCAGTCTCAAAATTAAAATATAACTTTAATAATTTAAATTTAAAAATATATACGTGGTCGGAGAGGACAGAACTTACAAAAGTCAGGAGGAAGGAGATATGCTTGCTAGTATCAAATAGTGGCACAAATAATGGGAGTGCAGGAGGGAGGGGGTAGATAGAGAAAATCTGAACTCCAACTAATCCCCAGCGTACCCTCTCTTGCCTAAAGCAACCCAAAAGCCCAAAGCTAGCAAAGTCACTAACTCCTAACTCTAAAACTTAAATAATAAGCCTGACGGTAGAAATAGCTGCTTAATCGAAGAGAAACTGTCCTAACTAAAAAACAAATCGGGTAAAGAGATCTCGAGGGGGGTGACTAAATATAGAGTAATAAATATTGCAGGAGCGTCCTCCCTATCTATCAGATTCACCCTCCCCTCAGTTCTTCCCGACGCGCGTTTCGCCGACTAGCGGCTTTTCAAGGGAAAAAGCCGCTAGTCGGCGAAACGCGCGTCGGGAAGAACTGAGGGGAGGGTGAATCTGATAGATAGGGAGGACGCTCCTGCAAAATTCATTACTTTATATTTAGTCACCCCCCTCGAGATCTCTCTACCCGATTTGGTTTTTAGTTAGGACGTTTTCTCTTCGATTAAGCAGCTATTTCTACCGTCAGGCTTATTATTTAAGTTTTAGAGTTAGGAGTTAGTGACTTTGCTAGCTTTGGGCTTTTGGGTTGCTTTAGGCAAGAGAGGGTACGCTGGGGATTAGTTGGAGTTCAGATTTTCTCTATCTACCCCCTCCTGCACTCCCATTATTTGTGCCACTATTTGATACTAGCAAGCATATCTCCTTCCTCCTGACTTTTGTAAGTTCTGTCCTCTCCGACCACGTATATATTTTTAAATTTAAATTATTAAAGTTATATTTTAATTTTGAGACTGCTGACTTCTATACAAGTATCCTGTAGGTGCACTAGGATATACTGGATGTGCACTCCCCAGGTTTACGTTGTATTTTTCCTCCTACTTATATTTCATTCAACAGGGGTTACCCCCCTACTCATTCCAGCAGTTTGATACACACTCTCTATTTTTCTCTTCTCAATTTGCTTTGATATACATACTCACAATTCACATTATTTATCTGCTCAATGAAAATTATAATTAAAGTGACATTACTATCCAAAACCACCTCAAATATATACCTGTGGTCACCTCCAAAGGGAACTCTGATTGTCCATATTTTATGGCTGTTTAAATTCCCTCGTTCATGTTCTGCTAGGTTTTTTATGTATTTGTTGTAATAAAATTTTCATTTTTTTTTTTTGCTGCATTTATTGTTAGCAGTACCTTATTTTTTTAAAATAATTTAATGATTTTGTGAGTGACACCCTCTTTAGGGTTTAGCAGCTTTTCTAACAACAGCTTTCATTTTTTATATTTTTAATTATAACTTTTGCATTCATATTTATTTCCATATC